AATAGAGAAACTGAAATCCTAAGGTATGAAGGGAGGGAACTAAATCCACTGGGAAGTTTTGCACCAAGAATGGGCTCGCTGTGCAGGATCCCTCCCSAGTTCCATTCAGAGCAGGCTTTAAGACCTCACTTTACACCCAGCTCAGGGGCTGATGGAGCACAGCACCAGTGGCTGATCATTAGAGGAACATCAGGATGTATGGGAACAAGAAGGAAAAAGGAAACTCTACAAATATGCGCCAAAAAAAAAAAAAATCCTCTGGGAGACCTAGAAACCAGCAGATAACTTGTCTGCTGCCAGCACAGCCAGCAGAAAGCAAGCATTAAAATTAAAAAAAAAAAGGAGTAATTTTTTAAAAAGCAGCTTACCGAGGTCTGATCACTTTTTTTTTTACTCCAGACACTTTAATGGTCCCTTGCAAGGTGATGGAATGAGGCACAGCAAAGCTTTTCCTTGAGACCACTCTCCAAAAAACCCAGCTTAGTTCTGCTGGAGCTGGAGCAGAGGCAGCTCAGAGGGTGTTTAAATCCTCCCACCGTGTAGGGATGGTGCTGCTCTGGTACCCCACAGCCAGGAATTCCACTGGCATCACTCCCAAGAGAGGAAAAACCATCCCTTCATCAGCAGGACAGGATGAGGCTTTGCTGGGATGCAGGTTTGGGAACAGGATGCACCTGCAGGGTCCCAGAGATGCCTGACAAAGGTGTAAATGCAGAGACAGAACCCATCTGTGCCCCCCAGAGCCCCCTGCACCCCTSAGAGCCTGACAAACATCCCCCCTCTGTGGCCAAAGCCACCACACAAAGCAGTAATTAAAGCAGGACACGAGGCGTGGGCAACAACAAAAAAAATAAATCTCTCTTATGTTTTGTTAAATTCAGCAATTTACAAGGCTGGAATAATTAGTGGTTGAAAATGTTTTGACACAAGCAGCCCCAATAATCATGATAAATCATATCAGGCATATGCCCAGATCCTTGAAGTGACAGATGACAAACAGAGCAGTGACAAGACGCTCCATCACGCGGGGAATCATTGAGTTAATGGAAGAATTATTGCTTCTGAAATCCACTCCAGTCCCATTGTGGGGAACATTCCAATTTATCAAAGCCAAATGAACATTAATTGCTGCAGCCTGGTAAGTTTTCGAGCTGCTGTGACCTTCATTGAATTTTAATCCAAAACAGATAAGATTTACTTCCACACAACAGGAAACAACACAATTAAACCCAAATGACAGCTGAGATTATGGTGAAAAAACACAACAGGCGTAATGACAAAAATATTGATTCCTTTCTACTTGACACTGTGTTAAAAAAAAGGTAAATAAATAAAATCTTGCATTTGCATATTTGTTTTTCTTTTCCCTTTATCCCTTCTCTTCATTTGGGAGACAAATTTCAGACTCTCAAGCCAAGAGGAAATGGGTGGCAGAGAGTAATGGAGACTGAATTCCCTTTAACTGCAGTAATTAATGTTATGTCTCATTGGGGAGAGATTAAGGAAAAACAGTTAGGAAAGGGGAAAAAAATAAAAATTAAGTATTATCTTGCTGTCAAAGAYGCCCTTGAGCTTGGGAAGGGAGGTGTGAAGAGGGTCACAGTTGGTCAGTGCTTTGCTGGGGCAAGGGGTGGCCACAGGGACACGAGCCATGCAGTGGGAGCCTATGGCAAAACCCACCCCAAACCCACCCCAAACCCACCCCAAACCAAAGAGGCGTGGACTGACAGCCAGGGTCTCTGGGAAGAGGAGCAGACCCAGGATTTACACCTCCCTGGATCCCCCCACAGCACAGAGGGGGTCTCAGCTACAGAGGCAGAGCAGAAGCTCCCAGCCAAGMCATAAACAACCTACAGAAATCCCAACCAACATTCCTGGCCTGGAGATGTCTCACTGCCCCATAAAGCTCCCTAAGAGAGGGATTAACCAGATCCCCCAGGCAGCCCTTCCCCAGCTCCTACAAATCACCTGGAGCAGAGGAGAGAGGCAAAAGCAAGTGTTAGAGCCACTTAAAGGTGATGGAGGAAGCGCTTTCCCCTGTCCCCTCCTGTCCCCTGGGCTGCTGATGGACAGGATKTGCAGAGCCTGAATGCCAAGGCAGCACTGGGGTGGACTGGGATTTTGTCCATTGTAGTGATGGTGGTTTAGTTTGCAGAGAGCACAGAGGAGACATTTGTGGCAGGAAGAGGAGGGAAAAATATTTGAGAAGCTGGGAAGGAGGACAGAGGTTGTCCAGTTGCACCCTGAGGAGAAAGGGATGGGGYATAGRGGGTTTGGGGACAGGAGGGGACACCCAGAGGGAACCCCACTGCTCAGATAGGAGAGCTCAGGTGGAGGGGACCCTCTGGGATGTGCTCCAGATGGGGTCAAAAAGGAAAATAAAGGATGGGAAGGCAGCCCAGGGATCTGGGTGAAATATTCCACCCAAATAACAAATAGCTGCACCCGTTTTATTTCAGCTCCAGAACTCCATGAGGTCTCAAGGAGGGGAAAAAATAATCCAACAAACCAACCAAACTGAATTATCTTTGCTGGTAACTCAAAACTTGGCTCGGGTTCACTCAAAAAGTTAATGAACCTTCTGAAAAAATCTGGGCAAAGTTTCAAGGCTGTGCTGCAATCCTGACCCAGGGATGGGATCTGCAGGGTTCCTGTCCTCTCCAGGGACAC